TGTAGGCAGGAGGGTATTCCTGAGATGACGCTGCGCTGCAGGAGCCAGCACCACTGTAGCTTGGCTCAGAGGCCAAGTTACTGCTCACTACTGTTACACTTCCTGTGGCTGGGATGCCCACAGAGGCAGAACCCACCTTGGTGCCAGTTAAAGCCTCTAGTCCAGGGTAACACTCCATGCCCTGACCCAGAGCCCAGGGCTCAGATTCAGTTTTTAGGAAAGTTCCAGGCTCTGAGTAGGCCCCAGTAGCAGGGCGTTCATAGGACAGCTCCAGGCCGGAATACTTCTCAGCATAGCGTTTAAGCAGAGAAGAGGCAGTAAGGGCAGATATGTCATCACTGGCCCATGGGTAACCTGCAGGGGCATAGCTGCGGCGAGCAGCAGTAGCATAGGGGTCATGTTTGTGGGCAGATGGGGGTGAGGTGGTAGAGGTGACGTCTAGGTGCTGCTCAGGCCACTGAGATAAGGGGGCGACGTGCTCGGGAGACCAGTGCATCTTCAACAGACCTACAAGAAACAACAAGACCAAGACAGAATTAGTCCACACAACCATGATGTTGACGTGATGTATCCACTGCTTTAAATGACAGATTTCTCCACCATTTTGTCTAGACTAGATACAGGCTGTGCACCACATCTGAAGTATTTTTGCTCCCTTTTTCTTCCAAACCTCACAAGCCGGCTAAAAGTCTGGCTTCATGAATATCTGCCCTCGTAATCACCTTGGCAGGCTGACCCTTTTCCAGAATCATGTCAGTGCTTAGCCAATGCTCTTCTGCACAGTCTCATCCACACAGGGGACAACTGTTCTAATCTTTATGTGAAGCCGCCAACATAGCCCCCAGCCTGGTCTCCACGGCGATAAGCCTCTATCAGCCTGCGTGCTGCCTTCTTCCTTTGCCTTGCTCACATTGGGGCCATTGTTGTCTTTCTGTGAGTCTCTTAGCCCACAAAACCACCCCCACAGAGCGTGTGATCTAATTCGGCCAAAACCTCAGGGGTCTGCTGGACAGGGGGAATAGAGGGCGGGGTCAATGTGTAGAGGGGGATCAGATTTTTCACCATACTACGCACTGGACACTGGACCAACACCTCTAGGAACACTATTACAAGTGTACCGATTGAGCAGTCAGAAAACATCTGATTTTCACGTGCCATGTGTGATTATACATGCACATTTACACAAACAGAGTAATCTGCTGGTTTAGTGGTTGTGGGCTTGTCTTTTTGAACTGGCATTAGGCTGACATTCCAGGCATTGCAGAGTATTATTAAACTGTCCTGACCCCAGGCCTGGGCCAGAGGGGCTTCCCTACAACAGCAACTGGACAGAGGAAGAAGCCAAGAACTTGATTTCACCAATAATGGTGGACAAATAGTAAGTTAGGCTATGATTCCAAACAAAGGTTTCAACAACTGTTTTCATGGTCATTTAAACTACCAGTTATTATTTTTAATAATTATGTCAATAAAAGGACAGAAAATCTCCCTAGACCCCCAAGGTGATGCCTTCAAATATTTTTTTATCCAACAAACAGCTCAAAGCCAAAAGATGTTGAATTTAAAATGATATAAAACAATGCAAATCAGGAAATCCTCACATTGGAGAGGGTGCAACCAAAGAATCGTTTGTATTTGTGCTTGAAAAGTGAGTTTTTCAATGATTAACCGATTACCAGTTTTCTTCTCTGTGGATCGACAAATCACTCAGCTCTATTCAACACCCTAATCAAGATGTTGTACTTATTTGGAACAAAGCAGTAACAAATAGCAGCATTGGCAGGTGTTAGGGTTTATTCATTACGCACACTTGCTCACTCACATGTCTGGTCTGAAACTGTCTACATGTGGATTATGTCAAGTTGTGTCACATGTCCACTAGGACCACCAGATGGGCCTCTAAACGGTCCACATGTTGATCCCTAAATTAAATGATCCTTCAGCCCAATAATCCCACTCATCCAATCCAGGGATCGTAATGCTCTCGACCGGCACAGGCTCCACCCTGGATCTGAGAAATCCCCACGCTCCAGGGAATTCTCACCGTTCATGGTACCCATCCCGAGAACAGAAAAACATTACTAGCACAGACCACAGAAATGTCTCAGCTAAGGTTAGAATGAAAATAATATCTTACTTAAACAAGGAGGTGTTGATTGATTGTACTTCACGGTAATTCTACAGATCACAGCTAGATTACCACATCGGTCTCCTGGTCAAAGACCCAGGGGCCCAAGGGGTTAAGGGGGTCCTAAACCACAGTGTCTGCTGTGAGGGGACTATTATTAACATTTCTCATTACAGATTCAAATGGCTCAGTCGTTCATGTCAATATAAGACCCTAAGAAAACTGAGGTGCAAGAGGATGGGACCCAATGTCAATGTAAGCAGATGTAAAATCATGGACTCACAGCCAAATTCTGATGTTATATTTTATCACCTATGGCAGTATTTAATATATACAGCCAACAAAATGCTCTTTGGTAAACTGGTTGCCATGGATACTCTCAAAAGTACAGTATGGTGCAGACCATTAGACCATAGACCATATGATATGTTGAAAACACCTAATGTAAAAAGAAGATTAAAAAAAAAGAACCAGAGGTCTCACTGCAGGCTGCAGCTTTTGTTTATCAGCATAAAGGTAGGTTGTTTTTCATCCTAGAAATATTATCTGAGTGGTTCTATAATGTTTTAGTTTTGGTGTAGAGGAACTGGTCAATAAAATAATCTGTTTTTTTACTACATTTTTACTCATCAATCTATAGTTGGAATCCCCCCCCCCAAATTCAAGCTCCACAGATAGAGGATGTTGTACATTGAACAGATTGTAAAGCCCTCTGATGCAAATTTTATCATTTGTGATTTGGGGCTATATGGGTAAGTTTCATTTAAAACTTAGAAAGTATTTCCTGTAAGTCAACATATTATACTTTAACTGGGAAAGAGTAGTTAAACTGTACCTTCATTAGCTCTTCTTCATTACATCTCCAGTTGTAGTTTAAAGTGGAGTACAGCTTTAGGTATTTCTGGCTACAAATCACTGTTAATGAATGGAAATCTTCCTCCCTGCCATCTTAGTGTTTCTCAGAGTCTCAGTCTAAGTCCAAGAACTGAATTAGATAATCAGTTTTAAGTTAAGCTTTATTGTTCCCCTACGCTGTAACGGAAAACAACCGTGTTCACAGAGAAATACATCAGAATGTAAATCCTCCTTTAACTTAATTATAAAAGCTTGTTTAATTAATTTTTTTTTGATATGGAATCAAAGGACTGTAATTTGAAAGGGTTGTTTTAGTCTGCCAATTCCATTGAGATCTCTCTGCAGTTCTGCAACACTTTCAGCTCGCTACTAAATGCATTTCATTCATTTTATCAAACATACAAACATAAAAGACTTCCCTGGTGCCATCTAACTGGTTGCAATAACAAAACTGGTATATTTGAACATTTGTGTGGCTGCCTTGTGGCAGTATTAACACATTCATTAAAATCTGGGCATTATTCAGCCACACAGACGCACATTCAGGCTCATCCAGCTGATACTCACTGGTCATGCTGATTGTAGGCATGAGCCAATCGTTTACCGCTTTGCCTTTAATCTACTCCTCCTCGCACCCCGTCTTCACCAGATGGTCTATAATCTATCCAAGACATATTTGAGTGCAGTAATCTACTGTGTTTGGAATCCTCATCAAAATTCAGCAGAGGAATGTGAAAACTGAACAGGATCACTTGGAGATCAGACGATGGAAGAGTGAACCGGAGGGTCTGGACGGGTTAAGGACCAGACTGAGGAAACCAGACTAATGAAGGATTAGAGCACACAAGGCTTATGGAAGTGTCAGTGCTTGGTGACAATCTGACATTCATAGACAAGAATTAAAGAGGCATCACTTGTGCTTCTTAGTCCTTATGCTTCCAGTAACTTTACTTGATAATTACTGTGCAATAACACAAAATGACAAAGTTTTTTTTTTTAGTATAAATGGACTTCACAAATGCATGGCTAGACTGTTTAAAGGCAACAGCGACTTGTGCATTAATGCTGGTAACAATTCTAGTGTCAAACTTCCACTTATTTTACTATTTTTGAAAGAAAAAAACTTTCTTAAATATCTTATATATATCCTATAAAGGCTGACACCCGATAGGAACAAGTACAAAGTTCTACTTGTTGATATGTATACTTCTCATGATAAAGCACTGAATGATAAAATGAATGATATCTTAAAAGCAAACTAACCTTTGTGTTCTAACATTATTGTTCTCTTGAAGATCAAAATGAACCATTCAGGTACGTTCACATTATATTTCGTATAGCAGAATTTCTCTCGTGTTTTCATGCTCTGTACACAGTAATATAATCTTACTTCTGATTTCATTGAGACTGCTTTTTAGTAAGACATTTTTATAACATTGAATTTATGATAAGATTGACATGTTTTCCAGGAAATGTGGGTTTCTGGGGCCGATTAAAACCTCTTCCTGTTCCTGAGTGCTATAGCATCAGACATCTGTGTTAAAGTGAGGATATTAGGGTGCAGGGTTTGGGTATTAGGAGGGATGAGTGAGGGAGCCTCAAACCCTAATCTAGCATCTCATGTTGGCTTGGGGCTTGGAAACACCCCTCCATTCTTGGCCATGCTTGGCTTATCAAGGGACAAAGATGAGCACTAAGCCGGCTTGGTACTATGACAGCTTTCCTTAATCATTGTGATTATCATACTGTGGACCAGCACCAGTGTTGCTTCTGGGTTTGTCCTCCAGCAGTTTGGCTACTGGGTGCAGATGAATGCAAAGCTTAGAGAAAAATCTTTTAGACCAGTCAGCATCAGCAGAAAAATATTTTACGTATACTGTACTGTTGCCATTGCACTGTAAATGTTTGTGGTGTACAGAAATGTTAAAATTGGTCACTTCTAATGTTTAGTGATCTTGCAGTGATTTAGCAGCTTCATATAACAAACATTCATCGCAGTCCAGGCCAGCATGAAAGTAATTTAAAATCACATTCCTCACACTCTCCTCTCAAACATATTAGTATTAGTTTAATTTTATTGTTGATTCTGTATTTGGATACCCCGTCGCTTTCACTGAGGAGTTGCATGTTGCATGTTTTCTCTTGGGTCCAGTTTTACTTCCTTTTATCTTCCTCCTTTTACACTGGCATTACGATTTTGTAAATCCAGTATTATTCATGAGTTCATGCTCATTTAATTCATGGGGACCCCGGGTAGTTTACACCACTTTTGCATAGATTGGTTCTAGAGCTGGAAATCTAAGTTATTCTCGTAAATTGTTAATATCTTAATAAAAAGTTTCTGTACTTAAAAGACAGAGAATGATTTCTGGGACATGCTGGGAGTTATATCCAGCTTTGTAGGTGGGAGCACAAGATGGTGTGTGTGTATTTGTGTGACTGTGTATTTGAGGCTTCCAAGGGAGAGTAATATTAGAATGGAGCACCTGTTAGTGAATATACATCTACTTTCTTTAAGTAAGTAAGTACTGTTGCTATGTTCACTAAAGATCATGCAGTTTTACGCTGCTTGCTTAGCTTGACTTAAAGTGATTGTCCACCTAAAATCTATCTTGTGAAAATATTTTATGAAAATTTCTTTCCATTTATGCTTGAAATAGTTTGTAATTTTGGCTTAATTCCTGTCATTTATGAATGTTTTCAGTAGCGATGTGTTTGAGGAAAGAAGTATCACTAGTACTATTCACTCCTATGCTATCTTCTGCAATGGGATCATTTTCACGTTGACATCAATTTTTGATACAGTTCAAATGTCGATCTAAACATGGACTAAGCATTTGTACCTATGCAAACACTCAAGATACCCAGTGTAGGTGAGGTGACACTTATAAATCAGTCTCATAAATCAAGTGTCTGTTCAGGTTTTTCCTCTCAAGTCTGGTCAATACCCAAAACTTACAAACTAAAATAAGGAACTTTAGTCCACAGCAGCAGCTCTGATTGATTTTCTGAGCAGCCAGTGTCGATTTACAGCTCTGGCCGGCCATTGAGGTCATCGTTAAGTAATTTCACATACATTTCTTCACATAGACCAATTACAATCGAGGTCAAGAGAATGTTCTGTGCACTGCCAATGGCTTCACTTGATGAAAAGGAGCCTATTTGTGTAGCGTTATTGAAAAGAACAAGATTACATAAGAAGAGGAGTCACAGTAACCTATAGTGTTGTTACAAATGAGATATAAATCACCCACAATCTGAGCAGAGCAGGAGGTGAGGTAAAATTACTGCGCTGTGATGAACACTCACCCTTTTCTTCTCCTGTCCACATCAAGACCTAAACATGGATGATACATGGCCTCAGGGTTCACCAAACAGCAAAATATGCAGTATATCTGTGTGTGTGTGTGTGTGTGTGTGTGTGTGTGTGTGTGTGTGTGTGTGTGTGTGTGTGTGTGTGTGTGTGTGTGTGCGTGCATGCATCAACGTGTAAAGCAGGGAGTGGGATGCTTGTAAACAGCAGTCTGATCGATCCAATAAAGAGATGGACTAAATTTGACCCTCCCAGCTCTCTGTCCGGCCGTCAACAGCTTCCACTAAAACCAGTTTAAGTGCTCTATCCTTTCTTTCTTAATGAGTGTTATTATCAGTGGTACGTTCAGAAAACTCTGCTATTTGGTTTCTGGAAAACATGATTATGCAAGTCATGGATGTTTTTTTTGGAGGCCAGTTCAACTCGTGGTCCACTGCATGGTCAGTATGAGTAATTAGAGGTTAATTAGATGAAAGTACATGTGGGGGAAGGGGCTGCCTGGAATGGGATTTGGGGGTTGTGAAGCATCAGAGGTGGTTGGCCGGATGGGGAGTGGAGACAAAAATCACCCTTCTGAAAGGTCCTCTGTTAGTGCTTTTACTCCACTCACAATAAACAAAGACTTACATTTCCTGAGGACGGACAGACACACACCAAGATGCACACGCACAGGCTCTAGCACTCCTATATATTGCGGTCTTGGTGCAGTGTTAAGCTTCAGCTGGCCAACAGGCAGAGGGACTCTTGGTCATCTATCGGATGAGTCAGGCAGCTGGAATGCCAGGAATCTAACCTGAGATCTATTTACAAAGCACATATCCTCTCCATACGCTCAACACACACTGTCCACTCCCAGGCTAGAGAGAGGGAGGGGGGAGGGAGGGAGGGAGGGAGAAAGTAGAGAGACACAGAACATGCTTACTTACAGTGCTGATAAATGACCCTATCAGCTGTTTGCACATTACTAGGTGATTTGTATTAGTTAGAGTTAATTCACACCACTGCTCGCAAGATCAATACAGAACACAGGAGAGAAAAAGTGGGATATGAATAAATGAATATACATGAAGCGTGTTAGGATTCCAGTTGCAATGGTCAATGGACTGCACACAGTCACCCAGCTGTCTCTGTCCCCTGTCCTGCTTACAGAGTAAATGAGGGTGAGATTGTTATGTAAGCAGTGACCATAGTCCAAAATGCTGTGCATGAAGAAGGATCTGCTGAGGAGAAAACCCTCCCTCTCCCTCCTCTTACCCCTTCCCCCTTTTCCCCAGGCTTGCAGAGTCCACCAGGCCACACTGCTGCCAGCCAATCAACTACTGTATATCTGAATAAACCTTTACACATCCCCAACATACAAGTCATTTCCAACTCCGAACCACATGACAATTAAGAGTCTGAGCATGGATTTTCCACTCAAACAAAGACATCCAATCGCATTGATTTATTTTTAAGCATTATTGGGAAACAAGTTTACTTTACATAGTTTTGCTCAACCTTTTCCTCTCATTTTATTTTTCACTTTTCTTTCACTCTTGATTTTGCCCCACAGTCTTCCCCCTTTGATGCCCCCTCCTTCTCTGAGTGCTGTAGTAAAGACAGGACTGTGTGTCCGACCCTGTGTGGTCAGTTTCCCCCTCCCCCACTCCTTTAGCTCACACACACACACACAACAAACACACACACACACACACACACACACACACACACACACACACACACATGTGGTCGAGGCTGGCCTGGCCCCTCTTTGCTTATTGTGTCCACTCATATATCAGGCTGCAGCTGACCAGTCCCTCCTCATGCCCTGTCCTCTCCATCTGCCCTTCACTTTGCTCTTTCCCTCATTTCACCAGCAGCAGCACAAGTCGTTACTATAACACCTAATGAGGATCTAAGGTGTGCTACAATTTGCTTAATGAGCTTTCATGATTACTGTGGAGGTCTAATGTGTGAGTGTGAAGGCCGATGTTTATTCTTCCCTCTATATGGGACTAATGAGAGGCTGTTGACACCAGGATACTAAGGGTCTGGCTTTTAGTCGCAGAATGGCTTCACCCTGGTGACTAGCAACTAAAGAAATGGCTGCAATTGCCCATCCCTCTCCTCATGTCACACGCTATCATCATTATGGACAGAGCCCATAATGAGCTGTGGGTGGTGACTGTGATTGCATGTGTACTTGTGTGTTTGCGTGTGGGAAAAAATTTGTCAGTCTGTGAGATCTGATGAAAGTAGTTATTGCTGTAAAAATCATAGGCTTCCGTGCAGTCCGAGTTTCTGTGGGAAAAAATCTAACATGACACTGTGAGTCTCTCTGAGGACGGAATGTGACACACGCACGTTACCAAAACTTCTGTCTGCTAAGAAAACTCCCTCATTCTCCCTTAAACCCTCAGGAATTTTTTTTTTAGACGTCCGTTGTATGTCTCTGTACCTTTGTGCTGCTCTTTGGAATACAAAATGCATGTAGAAGTAAATCCCTGTTGCATTATTCTAATCAGGTTAGTGTCGTAATCCTGTTAAAGCTTGGCCTAATCAATAGCCCACTCAATCAATATAAGCATATTCATCAGCCTGGATAGCAACCTCTCATCATTAGCATATATACTAACTGAGACTATGCTGTGATGTGTCAGTGAGATTTATGTGATTTAATCTGCTTCTACATATTGACACACAAAGTTGTTAGGTTCATACTGAAGCAGGTAGTTCATCTAAACTGCACTACACAGATGAATCATAAAGTATATACATGCTTTTATTTTGAAACACAAGTTATTTTTCACATTTCATAATGACATAGCAAAGAATGCACAGACTGCTCCACTGTACTCCTTCAATATGTGCATGTCCATGTTGTTCTGAAAGCACAGACAGAGGCGCTTTAGGTGCTGTCTGTTCAAACAAGCTGTTACTATAAAATATTCACATGGAGGAGCTGAAAGAACAGACACTGAACACTTTCTGTGAAATTCCTCAATGCAAAGCTTGGAGATTCAGCTGTTAAACCCATTAGCATATCTGCCTTCTCAACATGACTTCTCAGAGAGACCCCCCACCCACCCCCCTCACCCAGCCCCTTGCTTCCCTCTACACAACCACAGGAGATGAGTCCTGGACAAAAGAGGAGCCAAAAGAAGAAGGCGTACAGGAAAACAAACTCAAGCTGGGCCACAGTATTCACATACAGCATGCCAAACGAGCCCATCACTGGACATGACCATACATAATCATAAGCATCCAAGCACAGGCAGTTCAATGAAATCAGTGCAGACTTACTGTATGGGGTGACAGGACTGAGCATTCTGCAGCCCTGGCCCCCAGGTGAAGAGGAGAAGACCGGGTCCACTCGGTGCTAGTGAGGGCCCAGCTGCATGCTCCGGGACCTCCCTGGGCTACTGCTTCTCCTGCTGCTGGCGGTTGTGCGGCTGCTGGCTTGGCTAGTGACTGGCCTCCTGCACCCCTCCATGGTTCATCTCACACTTGAACACCGCTCTGACACACTGCCACCTGAAGAACCCACACATGGCATTAGCAGAGCCAGCAGACACTGTGAGTATGACTAGGTTGTATATTTTCTGATTGATTGTCATTCAAAGCCAGATTCTAGTGTAACTAATGTATAATGTACAAATAATGAAAAATTCAATTCAATATTTCTATTAAAAAGTTTATGTAATTATGACATCTACCTTTTGAGAAAAACGTGCAGAAAGCAACTGATATTGACTGAAAATTAGTTTCTCATGCACCCTGAATGATCTCAGTCTTTCCATGTGTATATGTGTGTGCACATATACATGCACATGTGCAAGCCACTGATCAAGAGACTTTGAATGCTGAATGCCCTGACAGAAAGGGGGCTTTTACCCTCTGACCACAAAACCGCACGGCCAGCGGAGACAAGTTTCTAATTCTTTGAAGCCACCCATGTTTCAACACAAACACTACAAACCACTACAGCGAAGAGAACTTTGTACTCTCTGCAGAGCAAGGAAGCTCTCCTGTCTAACATGGGGGAACACATGAGGGAAAAAAAAATGAAGGAGTGTGAGGGAGTGTTTGTAACAGTGTCCTGGGTTGACATATAGAGGACAAACTAATAAGAATGCCTTGCACATGTGTAAAGGAAAGGTAGTATAACATGTACAATGAGGTAAGCAGAAGGAAAATACATGGAGGAGGTCATATCATGCAAGAAAGAGAGGACAGAGAGCACTGAAAAGGACAGGAATGTGCAAGAAGCAGCGGAATCATTGTCATTCCTGTTGTAGGGAGACAAAAACAATCTTTTTCATCAAGTGAGTAAATGGTTACTGACCTGATCATGCCTGGATCTCCTTGATGAGTGGCTCAATTTAGAAAGTAATCCACTATTCCACAAAGTAAAGCAGAGGGAGCCGACGTAAATGTGTGTGTGACTGGGTGAGTGTGTGTGTGTGTGTGTGTGTGCATATGTGTGTGAGGTTTGTACTCTCTTCTGGGACCCTAACCTTCTCTCCTACTCTCCCTCGCTCACTGGCTCGCTTGCTCACCCTCCAGCTCCCTTCTCCCTCCCCCCCTCGCTCTCCCTCGCCTAGTGACAACAGAGCAGCACATACATCCCTTCCCCCAACCACACCACCCCTCCCCCTCCTTCTCCCTCTCTTTTGTTAAAACTATTTCAGCAGGAAGGGAGAGAGAGAGAGAGAGAGAGAGAGAGAGCGAGAGGGAGAGAGAGAGAGAGAGAGGGAAGAAGTGACCTATCATGCAGTGTCAGAGAAGAGCCCGTTTCCCCCTGCTGTGTGTGTGTGTGTGTGTGTGTGTGTGTGTGTGTGTGTGTGTGTGTGTGTGTGTATGAATTTTTGCACGTGTGCTCTTGTGTGCGTTTGTGTATGGTCTGATTTACATGTGTGTATGCATGTTTTTGATTGTAGACCCTCAGTTTGATGAATGAGCATGTGGGACACACGCTCGTGAAAAACTGTGAATTTTCTCCTTCACTGATCACATGAGAAGATCAGTTATTGTCAATGACTTCTATTGATCTGGTACATTGATCTTAGTATTTTTGGGAGGGTGGGGTTGAAACAACCATGTCAATATTACCTAATTCCTGTGGTACCCCATCCCCCCCTGTTCAGAGACATACACACACACACACACACCAGCCTGCACACATGCATGGGCAGCAGTAGCAAATGACCTCCACATTGGCCTCAAACCTTTGACTAAGAAGTGGGTTAATATCTTCACCTGTAATTTATCAGTACCATTAAAATACACCCTCATGCTGCTTTTATTTCATTTTAATTTGTGGGGCTTATTTAGCTTCTCCCCTCAAGCCCTTATTTTCACTCCAACCCCAGTTCCTCATACACAGAAACACAGCTGTGGTTCTGCATTTAGAGTTATGGTGTAGGCGGGACAACCTGGTCCACTCCTCATGTTACTCTGCTGTAAACACTCAAGGCTCTGCAGGACACACTTCTTTTGCTTTGGCTGCTCTCAACACCAGGCCTTGTCCCAAACACACACACACACACACACACACACACACACACACACACACGGTGTGCGAGCCACGTTTCAGAAAGTAGTTTAACTTAACTTTCCCCTGTAATTTAACATAATTAGACCATAAATAAATCACTATGATTAAAAAGAAGAGTTTTAATGAAAAATGATCACCTCCGTCCTCCTTACAGCCACCAGTGGACCTCTATGTGAGAGGACTTCAAGCTAAATTGTTGCCAATAATAGCAGTGGAGGTGAAGGCTTGGTATAAGAGCTTTTATCAGGTGACTCAGAGGAGTAATGGCTCGTGCAGCGCTCAGCTCTTTCTCCCTTACCTGCTTTGCTGACAGACACTGAAAAAAAAGGCCACGCTGTTATTTTGCAGGCTAGGAAACAATACATCTAAACAATCCCAAATGCGCTGCGGGGGCTGTTCTTTTCATCATAGAAAAAGTAGGCTGTTTGATACGTTCTCAGTGCCGAGTCGAAACCGCCAGATGTGGTTTCTTGTTATGTCAGAAACACCTCTGCATGCAGCCATGTGGCCCGAAGCAGGTCAGTGGGACAAGCAGAGGGACAAGGGGCAGGGTGTGTGTTGATGACAGTCGGACAGAAAGGTGCGGCTATAAGCAGGTTGGAGAACAAGTTTACTGGCAGAAACAAGAGGAGAGAATTTTCATTTGCAGCTCAACTACTGGAAGAGATGTAGCAGAAAATTCACACAGGAAGGCAGATTTCCACACACACATAGACACACACATATAATGGCTATGCTGGAAATTGGACATGGTAACTCTAACCCTGGGTCCCTTTGGCCCTGTGGGTGGGATAGGTCACATGATAGCACCCAAGAGAAGCTCAGCTGTTTGTCACTCTAATTCTGTCTCAAGCAGCTGAGCACTGGCTCGCTGCTCCACTGAACTGCCCCAGTAAATGATAGTGTGTGTGTGCATGAGTGTGTCCGAACAGGGAATGAGGTTAATGACAAAAATAAGTCTGTATCTTCAAAAAAAAAATAAAAAACAGACTGCTGTTGCAGCTACAGAGTAAAAAAACTTGGAATACAAATTTAATTCCCACAAGCTCAAGTATGTTCGACGTGAGGGATGAATTATGAGACAGAGAGAGCAACATAGAGAGAGGGGGCAAAACAGGAACAGGAAATCTTTGGAAAAAGCACAGGAAACGTGTGTATTGTGGGTATTGTCTCCCACAGACGATGTCAGTGTCAGCACGCTACTGTGTTTGTATTGGAAGGATAAGGCTCATGGTGTCCTACATTTTTCTTACTGTCAAGGAATCCCATGAACAGACAAATAAAATAACAATGAATTGATCCAGCTAACGAGCACTGCCTGCATATCCAAAGCCTGATGTCGTCTATTCTTATACTTTATTGTGTCATAGAGCTCCACAGTTCTCTAAAAAGACCAAAATGAGCCATACAGTTGTCCCTTTATAACAAATAAACATGGTTCATGTAGTTTATTTTGAGTCAATCCCATAAACACCATCCTGCTGTTATAAATACTGACTAGGACACTTCTTCAGTGGGGACCAGTAGCCTTGTGGCTGAATGGCATAGACAGGTCAGGAAAATCAGAGAGAGGAGGACTCATGCATTGTTGGTCTTTCCATGTGTCGTTCAAATTCATTCATGTGCTGTACATCAGCAGCTTTAAACACAGAAACTGCACAGTACATGCACAGAAGAGTATATACTCATTATACTATTAATATTTCTAATGTTTTTGTTTATTTTTCATCTTTATGGTCGTCTTATCTGGGAAACATGATATCAACTCTAATCCACCTCCTTAAGATAATCAATAAAAAGGAGCCGAGAAGCACATTGGTACGCACACACACCAGCACATGTGTATGTATGCACACGCACTAACTCCTCGTGTGTCCTTTCATCTCATCAAGTGCAGAATGTCAATTAGCCAGCTTCACATTCAGCATACTGTATGTGTCTTCAAGGTTAAATGGCACAGTGCTGTCCCAGTGATTTCCAATTACAGCACTAGAGACAGCGAATGTTCACGGGAAGCTTTAAGTGTTGAAAGTACAAAAAGAAGTATAAAGAATAACAATGAGCACAGTCACTGGACAAAAGACGTTATATTATATTGAAACACCACACAAGGAAGCTCACTACATGCGTGCACACACACACACACACACACACACACACACACACACACACACACACACACACACACACACACACACATGCCCCCTCTTCCCCTAACAAACACATGATTGCACACCACACACACATGCAGCATATAGTGCTCCATGTTAGAGTGGCTTATTGTTCTGTGGTATGGAGGACACAATATCCAAGTCTGGTAATAGAGGTTAGATTAATTGCTGACAAATCTGTATTCAGCAGTTCCCTTTCTCTCTGCTTGACAGATTTATGACAGAGATTGATGGAGGGGAGGGACGAGCCTAGAGCCGTCTCTGTTCACTGAGAAAAGAGGACAACAGCTCAGTGAGTCAAAGAGAAACAGAGAAAACAAAAAAAAAAGAAAAAGAAAAGACGAACAGGATTGTTTTGGTTGGATCTTGCACATGACCAACAATTTTGTTTTTGAGCTTGTAGGAGATACACTCTTATTTTTCTCTTCTAACCACAGTAATTACCTTTAAAGAATATTGCTTATCATTTTATACCACTTACACTTTACACCCAAAACAAGTATTATTTTGTAACATATCTATCATAATAAGAAGAATATTAGAGAAAATTATAAAATCTTTAAAAAAAATTGTCTTTGAGGAGGAGCCATGAGGAATAGACTTTTTTCACAGCAGACATTTTGAATTATCATTGATTGTTATTATCATTATTGATAACATTAACAATTGGTTTGTTTCTATATATGTGCCATGACAGCGAGCCTGCATGTACAACACCAGGACCCTGAAATTGAAGCAACAACATGGAATTAAGCCATCATTAAATTTTCATATTTACACCTGTGTTTGTTAAAGTATCTTTTTTGAAAAAAATGGCCTGTTAGATAAAACGGGAAAGCATGATTTAGTCAACTGAACAAATGGAAACCACAAGCAGGGGCAAAATGGAGTTTGACATTTTAGAAATTGATACCACTCTTCATGTCAATACGATTAATATGAAGCTACAATCAGCAACCGGTTGGCATAGCTTAGCACAAAGAGTGGAAATGGAGGGAAACAGCTAGCCTAATTTAAGACGTTAGTGGTAATACCCAAAAAACAGTTGTTGACATAATTCCCTGAGAAATGTCGAATTGGTTTCTGAATGGTTTTTAAAAAACAAGATATAGTGTTTTAAATTGTGAGCTTTAGAAGTGTTTGTACAGAGTGAGGCAAGGCTAGCTTTTCCCCCGTTTTCAGTCTCTCTGCTAAGCTAAGCTAACCAGCTGCTAGCGGTGTCTTTGTCTTTACCGCAAAGTCATGTGACATTCAGTAAGAAAGCAAATCAGCATATTCCCCAAAATGGTGAAGTGTTCCTTTAATAAAGGTATTTTCATTATTGAGCACAGCTGTAACTAATAACATTAATAATGGCTGCATTCCATTCAGGTGTGTCACTTCCACATGTTATTCATATGACCCCACATGACACAGAGCATATCATTAATATCATTAGTTCCATCATTGCTTCTCCCGCTATGAAAATCTCTTACTGCACACACTAACTCATGTTATGTGATCCTGGAATCAGCTCAGAGGGGAAAAGAATGACAATGAATGCAAACTATTGAACAGATCATTAATACCCCCAGTGGCCGCTGATCAGTTTAATGGAAGTACTGCCTAACAAAAGTACATTCCAGCTCCAGTTGGTTCTTCAGGTCTCCTTCACAATGACCACAGGACCTTCACATGAGCACAGAAGATTTCTTTGAATGTTTAGTCTTGGAACAGACACATTATGGCCAAGGTCTCTCCTCAGCTGATTGGCCCTGTGCTGGCCATGAGCCATAATAACACTGGTCCCACATGATAACAATCAATAGCCTACCATACACAAACAGACAAGCTGAAATTACATACTGGGTAAATATAATGCATATTTCCAGTAGCTGGAAACATCCAATGCTATGTGGGAAGCACAGCTTTAATGGGCCAGTGTGATGCTGTTGATCCCTGATTCATTTCATAAGGTAAAAACCATCTAAAATGTCCTGTACACCTCCCTCCTTCCACCTGATGTCACAGCCAACAGCTTGCCTGATTGGTTGACTCCACAGCCCGCCAGCTGTTTGTAATCAGGAGCATTTTGGAATGAGGATCACATGACACCCTCAAGGCACACACGCACACATAGATGTATACATGCGGAGAGCGCAGTGCATCTTTAACCTCACCCCTTCCCACAGGCTACTCCTTTGCAGTCAGGATCACCTCCAGATGTGCACACTGTGTTCTCACCTCAGGATAAAAACCGGGGGAGGGGTCTGGCACAAGGAGGGAGGGGACAGTCTAATGAAAATGGAAACAGATACAAAAGGTTGGGAGGACAGTAAAAGTGAGAGGAAGGAATTTTTTTTATTTTTAGAAATCTCATGTGGGTACTTCCCACATGAGAAGCAAGTGTTAATCTGCCTCAAACTGATGAAACACTAATGAATTTGAATAAACATTAGGAAGGCAAAGTCCTCATAAAAAGAATCTAATTGAAATGATTGGGACTCTGCTGCCTCCTAGTGGGACAACTCATTATAGACATCAACAAACATAAAGCTGAGACATGTAAACACATACAACATTTCGAAGTAATTAAAACGACTGCTCATTTCATTTCAACTGTAGTTATTTATTTCCCATTTTTCAATAATCAAAATTAAAATGAAATTACACATACATATAAAACATGTAGAATTCTTTTGCTCAAGACTAATCATTCAGTGGTTGAAGAGACAAGGCATCGCTCTTGCTATGGCTCCAAGACAATAAGATTAAGGTTACTGCAGTACAGATGCTCTTCTCCCTGAAAGCTTAATGTTTTCTAACATCTCTCTCTCTCTTTCATCCTTTTCCTCAGACACAGACACAGATTTTGTCTTTGTATTCATGAGAAGGACATAGCCTCACAGTGCACTGTTTTCACTTTTATCTACACATAAAAATGACATAGGCAGGGAAGGAGGACATCTGCAACATATGTCTCTTGCTGTATTTTTGACAAAGAAATGGTACTATTGTCCAAAATGGGACACAGTAATGATTTTTTGACAGCCTGTGCCTCATTAAAGACTTAATGACAGGTCTGTGTTTGGTCAGATGTAAGGTCAAAGGTCAAAATGACAGCACGACAGGAAATGGTGATGTATTCTGTGACAGGCACACATGTACAGCACATATACTCACATACGTCAAAATTTATGACCTCTCTTGGTCACATGTATATGCAGTCAACCTACAGTATACAGAAGGCATTTTATTTTATGTTTATCACACATTCACATTTGAAAATCAACTTTAAGACACATGATGCTCATTAAAATCACTTTAACAATTACTAAATAAATTATTTCGTTTCATTACAGCACATCTATGGTCATTGACACTGCATGTTTAAAAGTGTTTTTTTTTTTTTTTACCATTTGGTCTAGTCCATTATGGAAGCATTTTTCTTTTTTTTCTTTTTTTTCTAAATTTACACATTATTTTGGCTAGTCTTTGCACTCAGTCTTGTGTCTCTGAATCTATATTTATACAATGAATAATATTTAGTCATGCCATTCATCAGTTTAGTTATGGGTCCTCAGACACATGAAGACTATTCACATTCAAAAGTCTGACAGAGTCAAAGCAGAAGTACATGACAGCAAACACACTGTATAAAACTTTCATTCATGTCTTGGAGGAGGTATTACTGCATATGTGAAGTTACAGTGATAGATTACTGTACTCGTGCACATTGCTTTAATGTCACTTGAATAGAAATGAAGGGGACTGTGGGGGAATAAGCCTTGAATACGGTTATATATAAAACAATTAACTAGTTGATATCTAATTGTACAGTAAAAGGAGATTATATATTTTAAAACATAAGTAAATGACTCCATCAAATATTTTAATTGGATGATTTTTTAACAGATACATTTATTAATTCACTGAAAGTTTCATTTTTAAAGGATTGATTTGAGTCATTTGGGTGTTTTGAGTTTAAAGTGGTTTAAAGTGAAAGTATGTTATTCATGAAAGAAGAAAAAACTAGTTATTCCACTTATAAATTAAAAGTTGAATCACTTAGCAATAAAATGCACCATTAGTTTATTCAATACACTCAAGGGGTTTGCAGCTACAGCCTCACTTGGTCTGGTATGACCAGTAGCTTTTGGTGGCTAGTGTTAGCAAACCTTAGCAACATTATTGAGTAAGTTTATTTACTCTTCTCTTTTTATGCTACTGTTAATACTATACTCCCTTTTAATCAATAATTGTTTTTTCTCTATGTCCTCCATCAATGATTAAAGTTTATTAGACAAAGTTCTGATGTCTGCCATCAGAGCTCTTGCTCTCCATGTAATAACAACCTGTGGTGGTATTTTATTGAGTTCATTCATCAAAGCATTATTTACGTGCTGCATTCTTCTGCCTTTCTCTTTGCACAATTTGCTTATTACAGTATATACACAAAGTAAAGACAACATGTTGGAATTTTATATCTAAAAATAAATAACTGTGAATAATAAATTATTGTAAAATCATTTAATTGCTTAATAGATCTCTTGAAAATAAAATATATCACAAAGTCTTTATCTACAGAAAGTGCAACTACAAATAAAGTTATTAGTAATTATTGAAGATCATTCTCTTACACCATAAACTCTCTACTCCTTTAGCTCTCTGAGCTTTGAGGTGACACTAGTATGTGAAACTCACTATCCAAAATTAATTAAGGATGACCATCAGATGTGACTCTGACAGCACAAAATGAGGGGGAACACATCACAGTAGAACCTTGTTTGTCCAAATTGACAAGGAATGAAAACAACAATGTCAAAAAATCTTCTTTCAGTGCTGTGTAACTGTCAAAATTTTCTTTTTGGCACATATAATAAAAGTGTTTTTAGACTTCAAATGTTACATTTTCCTGAACACCCTTTATTCCACCCAGAGATGGATAAACAAGGACTCATAAATAAAGGTTAATTTAGGTTGAATTTGGGAGAAATTATTGCTTAAAAGAAAATCCCGTAGCCCCCCGCAAAAAAGAAACAACATAGCTATTATTTTCCTGATACTCAAAGGCACACACACACTCTCTCTCTCATACACAAACACACACACCACTTATCTGCTCTGTTTTCCCTTGACCTGACATCATCCAAAGTGCCTTACATTAGCATTCATGACATTGTCTGAGGTAAAGAAATAAGACACTGTACTAACACATGACAAGCATTTGGTTGAACAACCTCCACCCTACACAATCAACATCCATAAAGGGAAAAGATTACACCTCAAAAACCATATTATTGATGCCACTGCTTCAGCTGAAGCGGGTCTTCTAACATTTACACTTTTCAGTTTACATCATCACAAAAAACTGACACAAAGTTTTATGCCCCAAAAGAGGATTTGTCTATGTATTACTGAACCTTCAATGTATTTTTAAAATCTACCAAATAATTGACCATACCACTATTAAAAAAACACTCATGGCACATTAAATAAAAAGAGTAAATTTAAGGAATGATGACTTGCAAACCTATTTAGATTAATAAAAAGAACCTGGTTTGTTTTTCAGGGAGCATTAGTGCTCCGTTATATAGCCAAGCTAAATATACAGTCGAGAGGTGGAACCTGGGTGTTGTTTCTGATGACAAGGTCTAAAAATGGGAGAGGTTGTTGTTGTTTTTGTTATTGTTGTTTGTGTGTGTGTGTGTGTGTCTGTGTGTGTGTGTGTGTGTGTGTGTGTATGCGTGTGTGTGTGTGTGTGTACGCAAGCTCTCCTGAGAGTGTGAGGACCAAAGATAAAATAACCCAATGGGGACAACATATTAGAAGCAGTTCAACAGCACCACAAACTACAGCCTCCACAAGTGACAGACTCAACACTGTTCTGACAGAGTTTCAACAAAAATGGAACATGAAAAACTTGTAGGATGTTGTATTAGACTGACTGACTGACTGACTGACTGACTGACTGACTGACTGACTGACTGGGCTGTAAGGTGGTTTGGGAAGTTACATCCAAATGAGTTTTTTTATGAATGTATTGCTTCCAGCTGTGCGGCAGTAAATGTCCGCATATCTCAGTGAAATCTCCATGGCTGCCAGCAGCTGTCACAGTGTTCTTGCAGTTGTTTCATTATTTACTGTCATGGAGCAGCTTCAGGATTTGTCTCTAGATTACAGTCTGTCTCACTGCTTTCCACAAATTATTTAAAAGTGAGCTGTTCAATAGTATCAAATTCTCACAGGTGAATACTGTTACAGGGGAGAATGGCTTGTGGAAGATGGAAAGCCAAAGGCAGCCCTTGTCACTGATGGCTTTCTTCTTCCCTGTCTAGTTTAATTGCTGAAATTACATGATGATGGTTGAAACGAGGGCAGTCCACCGGTCAGCTGGTTAAGTGTGAGGTTGGGGTTAACCACTGAAGGCCACGTTAAAATGAAAATAAACCCCCGAGCCAAGATGATAATGATGGGTCAAGTGAGGTTAGGACTAGTTTCAGAGTTTGCATTGGTTTTAGTTGTTTCAGGGAAAAAAGATTTCAAATACAGTACACTGTTCCAGTCCTCACAAAGATAAAAGAAAGTGCATGCATATGTCTGCCTGTATGCAAGTATAACGCACCCTTGTCTGTTTGTCTATGTGTATGTGGACTATGTGTTGAGGGTAGCTGGTAGAAATCATGGAGACTTGTTTCTGTGAGCACTGAAGTGGCTGACGGTCAAGGCAGCCAATTTGCAGCGTCCTGTGGTCCAGAACTACAGTCTCATTTGACTGTAGTCACTCTGCCAGGACTCTGGACATCCTTCACTCGTCTATGAACGTGATCCCTTCAATCCTTCAGAGCAAAACATACAAACCCAGAGTTAAGACAACACAGAGCGCAGTTATGCAACAATTTGCAATTAATGAAGTGTTGGGGAACAACAGAAACACGTGACCACAATGTGTAGCAGGAATATTTTCACATTGCAAGGGTGAGGAGAGAGAGAGAGAGAGAGAGAGAGAGAGAGAGAGAGAGAGAGAGAGAGAGAGAGAGAGGGTGTGGCCTTGCCTTCTTAGCAGCCACAGGACGAGAGTCCTTTTGATTGGAGGTGAGGGATTTCCACATGGTGGTTTTAGACATTTCATCAGATATATTAATGTCAGAGGGGTCACACCTGAGGAGCAGGGAGAGGAGAAGGAAGGTAAGACCAGAAAGCAGATACGTAAGGGAGTAGGGTGAGTTGGGGTTAAGGGATGTTAGTACTCACAGGGTGCACTTGAAAACAGACCACCACACACCAAACAAGGCAAGCACGCATATAGATAGACAGGAATGTGAAACATTTTACTAATCTTACCACTCTGATAAACTGGTGTCTGCCCTGTCCATTTGAATGTGCGTAGGTTTACATATGTATGTGTACTCACTTGGGGTCGTGTGCTTTTAGGGTCTGAGAAGGCTTGCTGCTCTCCATGGGAATCTGAACAGCTGTTGTATCTTCCTGCTTTGGACTGAGCATTACCTGTGATTCCTAAAAGACACACGCAATAAACATGTGCAGTCAATACATGCATGTTTGACTATTTTCATCTGGCCATTTAAAGATTTTGACTACCTCTTCTGTCTTTTTGGAGGCATCATCAAGATTTTTTTTCTTCCACTCAGGCATTAAGTCATCCAGGTAACTTAGCTCCCGCTTAGAGAAGCACAAGTCCAGCACTTTGCGGACAAAAACCAGAGCCAGCACCTTGAGTCACAGGAGGAAAAAAAAAAGCCTCTTATTTAAATGGAGGAAAATGGAGGGAAGAGTGAATCGAGACAGGATGTTGGCGGTGGTCAACTAACCATCATGGGAAAGACGATAGCAGCAGGTGAAGTCTTGATGACCCAGAGGAGCACCAGGCAGGTGAGCTGGGTGAGAGTGAACAGGTGTACCTTCCTCAAGGGGACGTGGCGCAGGTAGATGAAGTCTGGCTGGTGTTTGGCTGGCATACCGAAAAGCTTCAGGCGGTCAAAAAACTGAAAAGTGATAAAGGTGAATGCAGGTGGTAGAGAAGTTAAAGAGAGAGAGAGAGAGAGAGAGAGAGAGAGAGAGAGAGAGAGATGTTGAGACAGGGTAAGGAGAGAAATAAATGAATGAGAGCCGAACAGAGAGACAGATGGTGAATGTGGCCAGAGAGAGGAAGTGATTATGAAAGACAAATTTAGTTGGATTGAACAATTATTTGTCAGGCCTCAGTGAATTGCAGCAGAGTTAATGAGATCAGGAGTGGGCATAAGAGGGACAGCCAAATTAGTAAGAGGCTGGGATGGAGAGGGCAAGAGAGCAACTCAGAACATTTTGTTTTGAATAACTCCCAGCTGATGTAATAAGTATCAATATAATCTGTTGATATGCCAATGTGATTAATAATAATAATAATAATAATAATAACAATAATAATACATCTTATTTATAGGCGCCTTTCAAGGCACTCAAGGACACCTTACGGTGCTCAGTAAAAGATAAAAATCTATAGTACAAGGCATAAAATACAAAATAATCGAGTACATGGCATAAAATACAGAATAAATTAGAATAAATGTAATTGCATAAAAATAAATATGATTAAGCGCTGGTGCTGGAGTTAAAGAGGGTAGGCAAGTTTGATTATAGACTATATAGAATCTTCTAAATTATTCAGATTGCCTAAGTTTTTGATTGCTGTATAAATAGCTCCTGTGGACATCCCCCTGACGTCAGATATCGCTCCTGTGTCGAATTTATAGAAATCATATTGCTTGTTACCTGGATGCCTTTTAATGAAGAGACTCCCATGTAAAGGAAAACACCATACAACACTGGCATAGGAATGAACTGAAAAAAAAACATACATCAACGAGCTTTAGTAACAATCACCATTTCATGCTTTTACTCCACTGATTAAAGCCTGAAGGGGGCAGCATTGTGTGGCTTGTCTGACTAACCTGCAGTGCTCCGGTCATGAATACAGAGCAGCCCATGAGCAGGAAGATGAGCAGGCCAGTGAGTCTCTGCTCTCTGATGCCCAGGAAGCGAGGCTGCTCTCCTGGAGCCGAGCTCTCTGACTCAAGCTTCAGGCTGTTGACGTGAGAGATGGACAGGACCGTGGCCGCTACGAACCACGGCAAGCCCATGATGGAGCACACTGCCAGCATCACCCCAACCATCAGTAGGTCCAGGTGGTACCCGCAGCCCTTCTGCAAAACACAGAGAAGGGAAGATACAGGTTCTCAGAGCAACCATATGAAACCTAGAAATCAAAGCTGTACGATCTAAATTTTCAAAATGTTCCTTGCCAGTAGTTTGTGCTCCTTGCGGTTGATGATGACGGCAGTTATCTGCTGGTCCATGAAGATAAGGATGGTGCAGAGAAGAGCAGGAATAGAGGCAGCCAGGACTGTCCACCATGGGTTGTGTCCTATGGGATTGATCAGCCAACCTCGATCATCTCTGGTGGGCTGGAGGAACACATTACAGAGGAATCATGATTCAACTATAACCCTGTGGAGTTTTATGCAAGGTCCACATTACTATTAGTAGTTTCTCTATACCTGGAATTTGCTGGGCACCTTCAACTTCTGGGATGGGACTCCAATGGCATAGTCAAGCAGAACCATGATGACAATAGTGAGGAACACTGCAAAGTCACTGATCATGGACCGCACCTGGGCATGGGAAATAACAACACTCAGAAATCAGTGGTTACAAATGTGACGTGTCAGGATTCGCAATGTTTTGTCACGCCCTACCTTAGTGAGCAATCAGTGTTTGATTACCTTGGTGGGGAAATAACGACTAGTCTTGAATTGCTTGAGAAAGGCAGACATGAAGAAGGTTGAGAAGAACAGGATGGTAGACCAGAAAAGAACATCCGGGGTGTAGGGGCCATGATGGCCACATGCCGTCCCAACAAAGTGGCCCTGCAGACTGACACACTCCTGAAGGGATTCATAGAGGTCACATTAGAACAAAATTAGAAAACAGAACATTTATTATCTAAATGGTGTGGCAGACAGGAAGTGTCTGCAAAGAAAGGAAAAAGGAGAAAGAAATAAACACTGGAGAAAATGCAGTGTGTGCTATCATGTGAAAGTTACACTGACATTAGGCGTCAAAAGGAGTGTGTGCGCGCGTGTGTGTGTGTGTGTGTGTGTGTGTGTGTGTGTGTGTGTGTGTGTGTGTGTGTGTGTGTTCCACATAGTTATGTTACCTTGACAGTAAGGTTGGCCCAGGGTACATCAGATGCTGTGATATTTCTTTCACTCCACAGCTCCAAGGTTTTATTACTGGGATTATCAGGTTGTGCACACCTACAGCTAAAGAGAAAGAGACACACACACAAAATCAGACATCAGACATAAAAAGAACTGGATGCAGGGGTGTGATCTGAAGGCTATTAGAAGAGAGCATGGGCAGAGAGACAAAAAAAACAATGAAACAATGGACAATGAAAAAACATCTCCCAGGTGAACACGCAGGTGTGAGCAGGAGGAAACCATTAGAGTGGACATTGTGTTACACACTATGCCAGAGTGAGTTTGTCCAGATCGCTGTGTGTGTTGAAGGGGTAGATTTCTCCCAGGTGGAATAGCTTCTCCAAAGCCTCATAGATGAAGATGAGACAGATGAGGGCGGCAAAGGCCTCCTCTGTGAACCGAGTGATGTAGCACACCAGAGAGCTAGCATCCGTGGCAACCAACACCAAACACAAAAAGGCCGTCCACAGGCCGATGCAAGTCCTCAGCGACAGATAGGACAGGTCGTAGTCCCTGAGAAGAGAAGAGAAGAGAAGAGAAGAGAAGAGAAGAGAAGAGAAGAGAAGAGAAGAGAAGAGAAGACTGTTTAGCAAAACAAATCTCAGGGTTGTGAGATAAAAAATCTCGCAGACAGGTTGTTGTAAAACTGAACATACTTGCAGAACTTGAAGAGGATTTTCTCAAAAACCAGCACAGGACCCGTGCTTCCCAGAATGGTTAGAGGCTGACCAGCAAACAAAGAGTAGGCCACTCCAGTCATAGATGCACCAAACAAGGACTCTATGGCACTCTAGGAGAAACGATGGGAATACAGAGAGTTTGTCTTGTTTTGTCAGTATGCAGTAAGATACAAGATCTATGCTGCATTCATGATGTTTTAATCACACTGCAGTACAGTGAACAGAGTATTATACTTACTATGCGTCCCTCCGTCGCCTCCCCTAGCAGTCCTCCAAAGGTGATGACAGGAGACATGCAGGCACAGTAGAGGAAGAGGAAAGAGGCCACACACTGGAGGCTCATACCGTCCTTGAAGTCACTCAGATAGAAAGGAGCTTTCCTTTTGATGTCCAGTATCAGACCACCAAACAACCTGACCACAACACACGAGGAAAGAAGAGTGATGCTGAGGTTGAGACAATAAGCTTGTGACAAGATGGATAGAGTCACATCAAGTTGATGCATTATGGTTATTACATGATTATTTGAAATTGGCCAGCATGAAATCAGATCCAACTCAAATCATTTCCAACGTTTCACTGTGAGAACTACTATATGTCTATTTGCTTTCTTGCCAAGTTGCCTGTAAAACCACAATTTATCATTTTTACATTTTGGTTTTTGCAAGGATTTAATTAGCAAGCTTTTAAGCTGAGCACATTTTTCAACTTTGGTGAAAGACTGGCTGGCTGTTTGCTTCCAGTCTTTATGCTAAGATAAGCTAATTGCCTTCCGACTATAGCTATGTAGTTAGCATACAGACAAGAGTGCTGGCAATCGTCTCACCTACCTCTCAGCAAAACTGAGAGTTGAAGTTGAAGTACTGAACCAAAGCAACATTTAAAGACCCTACACAGCAAAGCTCCTCCTTCATAGGTGTTTTCACATATATTCTCATAGACCTCTTCTCAGGACTGCGTGAGCATGCACAAACTGGGCTTGACTGACATCTCACTTACTCGCCTTTGACACCTGTTAATGATACAGTGAGTTTAGTGACCTCATGTAATTCCTGACAAAATTCCACCCTCTTCAACTTGAGCCTATACGTCTAATCAGCCAGAATAACATAAGGTGTGGATGTGCAGGGCCCTTAACGTGTAACTTTACACCAGGATGAAAAGCACGGTTTCACTGCTGTCTTTGCCTGAATGTTTCAGACCTGTTTGTCAGAAGCAAACTCAACCCCAAACTGCGACACTTTCCTCCAGAGACCTAACTGGAGCCACCTCCATGTTTTTCCACAGGTTGTTTTTATGACAACATATGTTGTGATATTCACCATTTGTGGGGTGTAACATCCTGTGTTTTGACATCTGAATTTAGCTTCTACATTTACCATGGATTATAGCACCAAATACTGAAGCAACAAGCCTGTGTAATAAACCCCAAAATGACAACTTACCTTCCAGTTCTCTGCAGCTCTGGCCCGTGGTGCTCAGCATGTAGTTCTTCCTCTACCTGGCAGGCTGTACCGTTAGGGACTCCGGGCTGCTTTCTCTTCTCCTGTAGACACCCAGTGACAGTCCAAGAACAGACAAAAATCAGACAACAGCTATACCCTTTACCTATACAGCCACTGTTGCTTTTATTGCACCAAACCAAATCCGAAAAGCAAATGTCTCTGTCATCGTAGCTGTTAGCTGTGTACCTGAGAGGGGACATTCTTAGGAGGCTCGATGCGGATGGAGGGGTCCCACTCTCCCGGTGGCAGGACAGTCACCTGATCAAGGAATTCATCTATTCCAGCCAGCAGGTCACCTCTGTCCTTTGCCTTGTACGCTACATCATGGAAGATCTGGAGCAGAGTTGTGAAGGACAGAGGAAACTTAACTGCCTGCCTTTGCAAGACAGATGTTGAGATTTAATTTGCACTGTTGAAGTCTCTGAAACTAGATTTTAATTGACAGATCCTCTTACCTCATCTGTCATAATGGTTGCCATGGAGCGTCCAATTTCATGGTATTGCTGAGCCTTTCCATCTGGACCCAGGAGAATGAAGAGGAACCTGATATTTGTCAGTAGACAATTTTGAGTATGTAAATCGTTCCCGGATTATTGAATTGACATATAGTAATTTGAATTCATAGCTAAACCATTGTTTATAGAGCTGTAGCTGTCTACCTGGTGGGTATGGGCACCTCAGTGAGGCCACTGAGCAGCACAGCAGGGGAGAGGCGGACAAAGGCCACAATGGGCCTCTCAAGGAAGTCCAGCTCTCCCACCAACACATTGGAGGCCTCTGCACCTTCTGGGATCTTCTTCATGAAGTGCATATCCACCTGTTGAGACAAGACAGAAGTTAGTATTGATCAAGATTACAAAAATTGTGCATAAAGCTCTCCCGCTACAGATGCAGTCTAATGCCAGAGAAACTAGCAAGCATTTCAGTGCTAGGGATATGAAACTGAGCATATATGCACTCAAAGTCCCAGGTGAAAGTTAATGGCTAAATGGAAACTTTTATCTGTGTTGGCTGTCTGGTTGTGCTTTAGAGTTTTGCAGTGATCGGCTGCTGCTGTAGGGTCAACTTTAAACAAATGTAGTTCCCCTGTTGTTTCCTAGGGGGCACTATGTGACCTAGTTGATTATTGTTGAGGGCTCAGGAAAACATTGATTACAGATCTTAGCAGAGTGCGACAGCTGCATGCACAGTGCCGATGGCACTGCACAACCAAAATACATCTATCTGCTGTGAGACTGCACACATCTGGTTTACCTTGCTGAGGTCCACCTGAGCGCTATCATGTCCAGCACCGTTCTTAGATGGTTCTGTGGCTGGAGGAGGCTGTGGAGATGTGGCTGTGACAACAAGAGTGTGGCCGTACATGTGCATACATAAATATATGTGTGTGTGTGTGTGTGTGTGTGTGTGTGTGTTTGAGAGAGAGAGGGAGGGAAAGAAAGGGAGAGAGAGAATCAGTGCATATATTTATTGGCCTGCCAAGTGCAAAGTGAATTAGGAAGGCAGTATTGCTTAGTTGCTCATATATCTCCCAATTGCTCAGAAGCAGTCAAATGGTTTTTGGCAGTCTGTCCCTGAAAGTAGTGTCACTGTTGAGACACTTTGTTTTGTTGCTTTTAGTTTCTTCCTGTCTTCTTTTATTCCCTAGTTTTCAAACAGAGCTGTCCGACTGAAGAAATTCAAAGTCGACTCAGACTGACATGATATTTACAGGATTATGCACAGATCAGCCACAACAGTAAATCCACCTGCGACTGGTGGACGCGTGGGCTCCACAAGACCCCCAGAAAGTGTCCCGTGGTATCAGACATCAAGACGTTATCATCAGATCCTTTAAGACATGTGATTTGTGAGGTGGGGCCTCTATGGATCGGATTTGTTTTTCCAACACATCCCTTAGATGCTGGATCAGATTTAGAATTTGGAATTTCAGTCAACACCTTCAACTTTTTGTCATGTTCCTCAAACACTAGTGTGGCAGGACGCGTTATCCTACTGAAAGAGGCCACAGCCATCAGGAAAAACTGTTTCCATGAAGGGGCGGTACTTGGTCTAGGTAGGTGGTACGTGTCAAAGTGACACCCACATGAAAGCCAGGACCCAGAACATTCCCCAGAGCATCACACTGCCTCCGCCGGCTTTCCTTCTTCGCATAGCGCATCCTGCTGCTATCTCTTCCACAGGTTAATGGAGCACAGGCACCCAGCCGTCCACATGATTTTAAACATGATTGATGGACATGATTCATCAGACCAGGGCACTTTCTTCCATTGCTCCATGGTCCAGTTCTAACACTTACCTGCCTCTTGTACGTGCTTTCGGCAGTGGACAGGGGTCAGCACAGGTACTCCCCATATGCAGCAAGCTGCAATGCACTGTGAGTTCTGACACCTTTTTAATCATAGCCAGTATCAACTTGTTCAGCAGTTTGTTCTACAGGTCCGCTCCGTGAAAACACCCTGCAAAACCTGCTGTTTTGGAGTTGGGTCTGACCCTGTTGTCAAACCATCACTGTCAAAGTCGCTTGCCCATTTTTCCTGGTTCCAACACATCAACTTCAAGAACTGAATGTTCATGCGCTGTCTAATATACACCAGCCCTTGACAGGTGCCATTGTAATGTGATAATCAATGTTATTCACTTCACCTGTCAGTGGTTTTAACATTGTGGCTGATCGGTGTATGATTTTACACTGATTCTGTAACAGAACAAAAGTAATTCTAATTTAAATTCATGACACTGGATTGAATTTGAATTGTATTTATACCAAAATGATCCATTCTGATAAACTTCTGACAAAGATGGACCAGAAATGTATATGTGCGACATGTAATTGCATGTGTTATATACAGCATGAAACCCACCTGTCAGATGGGGCTCTGACTGTTTGCGGGTTCCCTCTGTGATGGAGCGTACGATGGGAATCAGGTTCTTCTTCTTCTCGTTCTGGTGGTGGTGTCTCTTCAGCAGAGCCTCACGCACCTTTACTCTCACGCTGTCATCCAGCTCATGGGATGCCTCCTGGTGGTCCAGCACCATGTCTGCAACACGTGGAGAAACCCATAAACCCTGAGATCAGAGTATCATCAGACTGTTCACTGATCAGTGGCATCAGACAGATTTTATTTACACAATATACATGTGTTTTTGGCTCTGATCAGAGCTTTACTCCATTTATAAAACTGCATAAATAACCTAGTTAATAAGGAATCCCAATGGCTCATCAATTAAACCTTCTTAAATACTTGTTTTCCACTTATTGCTGTATTTGAAATGAATATGCAGTAATCTGCTCAGGCTTCTCTCGAAATGTTAAGGCTCAGTGCAGAGCAGAAGGTGTGTGTTGGAAGGGTTAGGTCAATATGTGTCCAACATATCTGGTCATGTGGGACTGTGGTGAATAATCAGCATCTCCCCATCTCTCTCACCGCTGCTGCTCTCTCCTTCTCTCTCCTTCCCCCAGTCCTTTTCTTTTTTGCACTGACTTGCTGAGTCAGCTCTGGATCTTTCCTTCCTTCTTTCCTTCCTTTCCTCCTGGACAGTCAATCAGACACACACACACACACACACACACACACGCACACACACGCACACACGTACATATACACATGCACACACACATACACTGCGGTACCTTCATTTATTCTGAGCACACTTCAAGGCCAGCACTAATGTGTTGGCTGATAATCAGCCATATTAATAGGGACAGTGGCACAAAAGAGGCTCAAATTGAGTCAAAACTCACAATGTACATCTAATGGAGCCTCCACTCACTCTCCACAGGCTTGAGATAGATCAAGTTATTTTTAATTTGACACGATAACAGCTGCTCTGCCTCCTCCAGTCTATCATCAGAGAGGCGACCATCAGTTACTCATTTCACAACAGGATACATTCACTAATATCACAGCATGCTCAAAGAACTGGTGTACACAGCCTCCTTTATTGTTGTGCTCACACACTTTGTTGTTCCTTTTAATCAAGTAAGATACTTTCTAATACAATTTCAGTGTTATTAGTCCAGTGTCAGAGTTTTTTGAAATGATAATGAAATTTTGAAGTGATAAGAGCTTGACTGAATTATTTGGATACCAGGTTGATGTATAGAGCAGGGAGATCGACATTCAGCCAAACCACCTGTGAAATGTATATATCTTTTCATATAGTTATTCTTATTATGTTCACATTTAAGGAAAGAGTTTTAAAGAATTAGACTCTAATAGGTCTTTGGGGCTACAGAGGCCCATTCTTGTGTTTCAGTATCAAGGTGTTTTTTTCATACATTGTGGATGGTGAGGATTTGAATATGCATTTTGTTGCATTCTCTTGGTCTCAGTTTGGTTAACTTCCAAAAATAAACTTCCAAGTAAATAAATAACAAACTTTTTTTCCTCTTTTTTTTTCCTAACCATGCTGGCTACCGTTTGGAGTCCAGGTGCTGCTGGCAGGAGTCACATGGAGAAGAGAGGGAAGTGAGAAGAGGTGGAGAGTTGGAGAAGAGGAATGACTGCAGGCAACAAGGCTGTTCACATTGTAAACCTGCCACAGTCTGACCATGAGGAAGACTGAGAGATGGAGAGCCTTGACCATTGTGGGTTTATCCGTTTGTACTGCGTGTGTGTGCGTGCATGTGTGTGTATGTTTGTGTGTGCACGTGTGTGTGTGTGTGTTGAATGTGTTGTGTGTGTGTGATGCAATGTGTGTGTGTGTGTGTGTGTGTGTGTGTGTGTGTGTGGGGAAATGGATGTCAGGTACATGCCATACATATGCAAATATTTATTCGCATTTTCCTATCAGACACTAACCTCTGTGTGTGTGTGTGTGTGTGTGTGTGTGTGTGTGTGTGTGTGTGTGTGTGTACAGACTGTGGTCATTTTCACACTCATGGGCGTACACAAGTATTCCTTTGCATGCAAATAGTTGTGTGTAGTTAATTGCATACTTGCATGCAAATGAGTGTGGACTGTGGTAGCAGCGTTGTCTAATTGTAGATTTTATGTAAATCAGGTTCAACAGAAGTTCAGGACACTTCTTGGTTCAGTGACATTATTCTAGCAAAACACAACCAACCCAGTGAAGAAGTGAAGACTCACAGCTGAAAGGTTTGTTCACCTTCATCACACAAGCACAGTCTAAACATACAGGCCGCGGTGTGCTGCGGTGTGTCGTGGCAAGAAATGATTTGAAAGACTGTGAGAACTTTTCTATGATTGACAGCTTAGTTTGTGTGTGTGTGTGTGTGTGTGTGTGTGTGTGTGTGTGTGTGTGTGTGTGTGTCTGTGTCTGTGTCTGTGTGTTTGTGTGTTTTTGCATCCAGCACAGTGACGATGCTCCCCTCAGGCCTGTACGCTATGTGTGTCTCCTCTCTGAGGAGGATAAATGGATTTGTAATAGACATGAAACAAGCGTTTCGTCTGAGATATAGAGCCTGTTTTATATCAGTCAGTTTAATATTTGGTCAAGGACAGGGGCAAGAAGTGACTTCAGAGAGCAAGAAAGAGAAAGAGAGGAAAATAAATTGCGAAGTGAAATACAGTTACCATTTGAAGAAGCAACATCAGTCGCTTACACAATGATACAAACTGATTTCTTGTAAGGGCCTTACAGGATCGCTTGTGATTATTTTTCCACCACATTCTATAGAGTGCTAAAATGATCCTGGGATTTTCAGATCATGTAAAATTTGGGTGGTGGATTGCTCTTTAAAATAGCACTCTGGTACTGAGCTGTTTAATGTGTTAGCTGGAAAGAGTCTCACCAGCAATCTCTTCGATGCAGTCAGCATGCATGTCAAGCAACACGCTGCCGTTGATGATGCAACTGCGGAGCTCAAACAGGCTGTGCAGGGAGAGAGTAGCAACGTAAGGCTTGCTCCACCTCTCACCACCGTCCTCCACGTCTTCTTCAAACTTCAGCCACCTGAAAGAGATCAGTGCTTGTTAAACTCCTTAAAGTGAAAGTTTGCTATTTGTCAAATTTCTCTCAACTTAAAAACTGCTCTTAAATGTAAGGAAAGTGAGCTGCAGAGGTCTCTTTAGTTGGATGACAGCAGTGCAGACACAGAGGTGAGCACACATCCTCTGCATGAGTGTTACAAAGAATCACTGCTCACGATGAATAATGAATATATAAAGCACAGAATAAGGCAGTTTAGCCTATTATTTGCCTTTCATTTGAACATTCATTCGCATTATTAGCAGTGCTAACAACAAGAATAAAGCTGGCATTAATTTTGTTTGCAATCTTTTATCTCTAAATTCTCCTCATTCTATGTTTTCTCTGATGTGATTTATCTATCAGCAGCAGACTTTATTTCCTGCTCCAGTTGATTTTCTTCTTTTTCTTTTCTTTTGTTTCTATTTAAGACATTTTTTCTAAAGAGGTTATATGGCAGATACGGTGTAAATGGCTAGTCCTACATGACATCATTCACATGATCACTTCACAGTTGCTCTGAAAATGTTACTCCTACACTTCACTGTAAGTAGGAGTGCATCGCATGAGGTTTCCTGTCTCAGCAAAGAACTGTTGTACTTCTAAGTCGTGTTTTAAGATTAAGTCTAACTCAACGGATCTTGGGGACCAGGGGACTTTAAAAAGAAATGTTTTCCCACGCACAAATCAGCTCTACATAATTTGCATTGTGATTAAGAACATTTCCTCCCGGGGAAAGATGTAATGACATAAATGTCAACCAAACAATATCAGGGAAAGGTCTGGCATCAGCCTGTGAATCTGAGATTTGGCATTTGATCAGCACTAATGAGATCACATTGTCTTCACATGTTCATTTCTCTCTTTGGAGCTTTTTTGCCTTGAACAAACCTACCAAAAAATGATCCACTAAGCTTTAAATGTAACTACCACTTTTACACTGTACAGTTTTCATAGGAGCACAGCTGTAGAGTTGCCGGGCTGTCAGAGTATTTATTGCCAGGCTTTGTTGCCAACAGTTCCCAGTGGAGATACTGACCTGGCTGTTTCCTTCCACTCAGCATCCTTGCCATCCTTCACACAGATCTCATCCAGCTCAGTGAACAGCTCGTGGGCCACATGTTCAGCATCCTCCTCTGTGCCCAGAATAAACTGGACCCTCTGCGACGGCGTGTCTGATGAAGTGACAGGATGAGAGGTGAGCTGTGGTTCTCAAAAGGCTTTTACGAAAACACAATGCTCCTTACTTATGTCATTACATGCCTTTTAAATGATTTCTGGGTCCAGATAAAGACATACAGACAAGACCACAAAAAACATACACACTCTCATATACACAAATGTCTCTAACCACAAGCGTGCGCACACACACGCGCACACACATGCTATATGCTGACTAGTTCCTGCTCTTTGGTAGCTAATTAGTGGCCATGTCAATTTTGGCCTGGAGTGCTTTGTGTGTGCGTGTGTGAAATGCCTACAGTATTGATAGGCTGTGTTTAACAACCACTAACTACTCTGTATGTTCTACACTGAGCCATGACCAAAGTCGCTCTCTGACTAATAAATGCCTGTGTGAGATGAGAAAAAAAAGGGAAGCCTAAGAAGAGGTTTTGCGCTTGTGTGTGTGTGTGTGTGTGTGTGTGTGTGTGTGTGTGTGTGTGTGTGTGTTACCATGAGTGGAGGTGGTCGTCTCGGTTCCCTCGCTTTGCTGTGTTGCAGTACTCCCTGACCTTTTTTCTCTCTTGCGGTGGCGAGAGCCATGAGCCTTGTGGTGACGGTGGCTCTGCCTGGGCATCCGAACCCCCACAAACAGAGTCCTATGGCCTGGAAAAGAGGCGAGAGAAGTCATTTTATTTTTATTACGGGGTAATGCTTTTATACACTCAGTTACTGTCATTTTGTCACATTTTACTGTAATACAATCATTATTGTCTACATTTATAGCTTAAATGTTTTTCTCTTGCCTTGTATTTGAGTATTTTCAGTGAAATCAAAATTTACAACAAATAATAAAACAAATACAGTCAGTCAGTCAATAGCATTAGAAAACACATTAAACCTCATCATGATCATATAAAGGGCAATAAAGGTTCTGGAGAGCTCAGTAACTGCATCTCAAGGGGATACATGATAAAATAAATAGTACTTAATTATATATGAATACTAAAGTAATAAAGAATAAGGCTGCCTGTTGTCTGATGAGATTCTCGTTCTGAACTCTGTATATTTAAATATCGCTATTTAAACAAGGACAAGGTCAGTTTAGACAACATTTTCCTATTTTAGTTTTCTGTGGCCATTTCTAAGCCTGCTAGCTGACAACAGTCCCGACCAAAACATCCTGCCTGTCATGTTTGAATATGTGTTTGGCCTCGTGAGATTGGTAAGTATTTATTTAGCAGATCAACTCTTCAATTTTGGGTTGCATCTTTACCAAATGTGGTTTTGAACGCAGGCCTTTTAGTACATGTCTTGGCAACGTCCAAGAAACAAAACCTGTTGCAAACTGTTGCTACATTCACATTTCGTCAGTATTAATTATGGCTGTAGTAATATCTGTATCCTGTGTGGCAGTTTGGCAGCTTTTACACAACAAGTAACTCCAGTCTGTCCCACATACTTTCTGTTGAACTCATTGGGATTGTTTTTAAACTCAGCATACATCACTTTCCTGTCATTGGATTGTGGTGTTTGCGTAATTTTGTCCACACAAAATAAATAGTTATTTCTGCCTTTCTGATGAGATCATTTAAAATCATAATAAGGTGAAGCTAAATCTGGCATCTCCCTGCTGTCTAGATGGAAAAACTGAAAAAAAAAAAAGCCTCAGAAGAATAAAAGAGAATTGGACAGGGGAGGGAACTGCTACTGGGGCAAAGCAGAGCTGAATAGGGTGCACTGTGGTTTCTAGGCTCAGATGGTTAAAGTGACTGAAAGTGAAAGTCATTAAACTGAGTGTTAGGTGTTGGCCTGTAACTCCACAGGGAGTATCTGGGAACAACAGTCTGCTTCCTGCCCCACATTAGTCTCAACCACTGCCATCTGTAATTATCATCAGTGCATTCAATGTTGAGTGCAACATGCTGTGTTAACAAGAGGCTGAATGTTTGTGACACTGACAGCAATGGAGTTTTATTTGGATCAAAGCAGAGACTTCTACAACTAAAGAATGAGCAGTCAAAAAAATAGAAAATTAAACAAATAGGTTTGGGAAATTATTATAAATAAACTTGATCGAGAGTTGAGGCAGTTTGACGTGTATGTGTGTGTGTGTGTGTGTGTGTGTGCATGGGTGTGTGTTTGTTTCTGCGTAACAAAAATACCTTGGGGTGCAATGAGGATACAAAGCTACTGAGCTCAGTCTGAGTGTTCCATCACTAAACATGGTATTATCCCTGTAGGAAAGTGATAATGGGCCAAGTGACACACACACACACACACACACACACACACACACACAAACACACACACCTGTTCCCCAACTGTGATGACAGATGAACCCCAACCCTCCCTCCCCCAAGCCTCCTCTGAATAGATGGAGGATCCATTATTAATGTTTTAGCTGTATTCATCTCCACTGGCGAAGGAGACAATATAACATCCCCATGGCGTCAAAGCAACACACACACACACACACACACACACACATTTGAAATGACTTAATCATGGAAAAAACTTTGCTCCATCACACTGTTTGGTCTCATAAAACATTTATGAGACTTGGGAGACCTGCTGAAGGCTGAGTGAGGTCAGGTCACCTGTGGTGGAAGATAATTAGATGCAGTATGTACACGATCTTGAAGTGCAACTTTGAAAAAGATCATTTCCATCAGTTAGATGTCAATACTTCGATTCCACTGCATTGGACAGGAAAACACTGATGAATGCAGTCATATTACGAAAAAAAAGTTTCTACATGTCAAACAGCTGTAAAGTATGATTCATGGTGTTATTGTGTAGAATACATTTTTCTCAAGCTGAAATGCAAACTGCAGCTGTGAAGGTCACTGGTGACAGATTGCTCAGTGAGATGCAAGGCGCACTATTCATTACGAACATGTTGTTGCCAAGCCACTGTTTGGAAAAGAATTTGGTCAATTTTGTCAAAGCTGAAAATCAACGAATACCAGAGCTCTGCGGTGGAAATGCAGAAACAGAGATTTCTCTGCTTGTTGGTGCTTTAAGGAAATGAGCCAAATCCCTACAGAGAATGTGGTTAAAGGGTAAATCAACAGCTGCACGATGGTTTGAAAGCATGCCACTCCACTGGTCAATCCTTAATCAGTGATATGCCAGAATTTCCATCAGCTGTAAATGGCAAAACACCTGCAGTGACAACACTGATTTAGATGTGGATAAGTGCAGCATGGCTGAAAGTCTGAGCCCTTAGAGAGCCGAGCAGCAGCTTCAGTGCTGAATTATAGTTCGAAGAAACAAATGTGCTCCTCCAGTCGCACCCTTTTGTTTTCTCTGTGTGTTACTGACTAACTGTGCAATAAACTGGGAAACTTAACACTCCAAAACACATCTAAAATATAAAGTGAATTGACTGGGGGAGTGTAAGCAAACAATAAAAAAAAAGCATGCAAGCAAAGCATTCTATTTAATCATGGCCTATAATACAACTAATAATGTAACAAGAAAGTGCCACACCTGTTGTACCCTGTCTTTTATACCGAATCAGCTGATTTTATTTTCTATTCATTTTATAATGATTATGATCATCATTTTAATAATTTGCGGCTTCTATTATTACTTAAGGAAAGGGAGGGGCAAAAGTGTTGCCTTAATGTTTTCATTATTATTTATTTATTTGTTTTTCTTCACCATAGATTTGTAACTGTCATCTGTATTACTGCCGATTGTGTGGACCAATGTTGTGCTGAGCTCTTTGTTGTTATTGTTGTTATGTTGTTGTTAAAAAATAACAAAACTCAATGAATATTCATTGTGAAAAAAAAGCAGTTGAAATAATCACATACATATTTTACACACAGGTGCTTTAAGTAAAGGGGTTGACTACTTTCTCCACCTGTGGAAGTTACTCACCTTCTAGTTCCTCCTTCTCATAGTGGATGTTCAGTACTGAGCTCGTGCCTCCCTGGTCCACCACCACCTCCTCATCTGGCCT